GCGATGGGGCATGGGGGTGGTGTTCCCTGAGCTTCTCAGTTTCCAAGCAAAAGATGCTTGCATGGAGATGCAGGCATGATAAGAATTTCAGGGAGGCTGACAAAAAGGAAGATCTCACAAGGTGGAAGCTTTAGCAAAATCACCTCCCCCTAGAAGGTCCTTCAGCTATCACCTGGCCAGGCCATGAGTTCTAAACCTTCTCAGTTAAGACTTTATTTTTAAAGGTCATAAAGTAGGTGAAAATGATGGATCTCTTCTGTGAAAACTGAACAAGAAGAGCACATTTTGTGTGTGATTGCAGAGTGGTCATGGACTCCAGGTTGACAGGCTCTTGAACCATGAACCACACTCACTATATGGGAGTTTGATCTTGTACTAGCAAGATCAAAGGTCTATAACTTGAGCAAGGTTACTAAACTGTTAGAAATGCACTACCCTCCAGTGTCAGAAATGAAGAGGCACACAAGAGATGTAGGCAGTTTCCTTTTGCACAAAATGGTGCAATGCCACATTACTCTACCTAGACCTAGGCAGGCACACTGTGCAGGGCAGTTTCCTAGGCTTTTATGCCAATCCAAACTCCCTCCTCCTTGTCAAGAAGTTAGGCTCACAGTCTAAGTACAATTGATTACCAAGGTTAGAAAGGGAGCCATTCTTTAATTTCTATCAAAGGTTTACTTCTTTTTTTTTCCCCCACTTAGCAATTATAGTGTATTATTTTAACTTTTTCAACACAAGATTTAGCTCCCTAACATGGCCAGCTTGTAACAATCAGTACAGATAACAGATACACTTGAAGTAAATAAAGCGAATAGTTCCAGGAAATATCTGTCACAATACCAAACTCACTTTAGTTTGACAGAAAAGAATACTTTTTCTCACAAAATGAATGGTTGTGTGTGTGTGTGTGTGTGTGTGTGTGCGCGCGTGCACAGGTGTTCACGCACACCCATACTAAGGCTTGAACTCAGGCCTTCAAATTCTAGCTTTGTATCTTCAGCTCACCATTTGAGCCACACCTCTACTTCCTACTTGTTGCTGGTTAAATCTCACAGAGCCAGGTGCTGATGGTTTATGTCCTGTCATCCTAGCTGCTCAAGAGGCTGAGATCTAGCTATCCAGGATCAAAGCCATCCCAGACAGGGAAGTTGATGATAGTTTTATCCCTAATTAAACTGCAAAAAGCTAAGTTAGTCCTTGAGTCCAGTGACAGAATTCAAGCAAGACACAAAACATAATGAAAGTGACAGGAAAATTTATTCGGAAAAGAATATGACAGAGAATGGAGATTTTTACATGGCATGATGCCACCAGAACACAACAGTTCATCATCAGCTATTTTCATGAATGGTAGACTTAGATACAGGAAGAATTAGGGGAAGGGAACAAAAGTATGCATAGTTGAAGAGTCCCAGTTACAGGTGGGTGTTATAATCCTACTTACTCAGGAGGAGGCTAAGATCTAGGATCGTGGTTTGAAGACAGCCCTGGCAGGAAAGTCCAAAAGACTCTTATCTCCAGTTAACCACCAAAAAGCTAGAAGTAGAGCTATGTGTCAAGTGGTAGAGTGCTAGCCTTGAGCAAAAAAGCTAAGGGACAGCATCAGGCCCTAAGTTCAACCCCCAGGACTGGTATTAAAAAAAAAAAAGTCCCAGTTACCAATGTGTCCTGGTAGGTCTTTATCTCAGCTCTGGTTCTCCAGGGTTTCATAGGAGTTGTTACATAGAAGTTGTTACCGCTGTCATCACTTGAGGGCTGTAGTCTGATTCCTGTAAGATGATCCTCCCCCTCCATAGTTGTCATTCAGTCTGGGATGATCTGTCTTACAAGGGTCTACCGTTCCTTACTATCGGTCAGTCCTGTCTTTCTTGGAGCCCCAAAGGTGATTGCAAAGTGACTATAGAAAGAATAGATTAGAATAATGAAGGCAGAGATGCCAGGCTTTTCTCTTGCTTTTAGTTCTTTCCTCACAACTGAAACATTTTAAGTGCCTCTTATAAATACATTCTCCATAGACTGAAAGCAGTTGTCTCTGGAGAACATCAGCATTCACCTTTGCAGTTGTGAGCACTTAATGAGATTATCTGTGAGAAATGCCTTTCCCTAGGTCCAGTCTATAGGGCTGAGGTCACCTGTGGGTTGACCAGTTGTAATTACAGGTCAGTGTTTTCTTTCAGAAGACTTGTGATCCCATCCTCCATTTGAAGTTTTCTTTGTATCTCACCATCACTCCTGGTTAGCTGCTTCCTATTTTTGAACACCTATGTCATGCTCACAGCAACTTTCTGAAGTAGGTAATATTACTGTCTCCATGGTACAAATAGGTAAGCTAAGATTCGGAGAGAAAGGGCCTTGTGTCCTGTGATATAAGTAGTAGGTGACTATGTAGAAGGTGCCAGAGTCAGGAATTCAAGACAGGTAGTTTCCAGAGCCTGTTCTTTCCAACATGTCCTAGACTGCATGTAGATGCATTTGGATGGCTTATGTACAAATATGAAGAGACAGTAATGGAAAATTTATACCAATGTTTGGTGTAAATGGGAATATCGAACACTTTGCAAATAGAGTTTTGGGTAAGTTTTTCTGCTGAAAGATTTGCAAGGAACAAATGGCTCCTTTGGTGGCTTACACTATAATCCTAGTAATTCTGGAGGCTGAGATCTGGAGGATCATGGTTCAAAGCCAGCCCAGGTAGAAAAGGCCACTGGATTCTATCTTCCAAATAACCAACAAAAACACAGGGCTGGGACTGGAGGTGTAGTTTGAGTGATAGAGTGCTGGTTCAGTGAGTGAGGCTTTGAGTTCAATTCCACTAAAAAATAATAGTAATAATAATAAAACCAGATTTCTAGGGAACAGGGAATGATTCAAAGTTTTATTAAGAGGAGAGAGTATCACAGATTATTTTGGCAACACTCTAGAAGTAAAAGTTGAAT